GAAGAGGTAGCTGGATTCGCAAAGTGCTTGCTGTGCATGCATGAGGAACTGAGTTCAAGTCCCAGAAAGCACATAAAAAATCTAGGCACAGGGCTGTCAGGATTGCTCAGTGGATAAAGGCTCTTGCTGTCAATCCTGACAACCTGAGTTTGATATCTAGGTGCCACATGGTGAAAGGGGACAACTGACCTCCACACCTGCACAGTGGCGCATGTGTCTGCTGTGGGGTGGTGGATAAATGTAATAATATGTTTCATGCTAGGCATGGTAATGTAGCACATCCTTGTAGAGCCAGAATTAAGGAGAGGGAGACAACAGTGGATCACTGTATGTCAAGGGTCAGCCAACTTAGCTTAATAATAACCAGTGAGAGACCCAGTTTCAAAACAAAACAAAAAGGTGGCACCAGAATATACACAGAGATAGATAGATAGAGAGGGAGGGAGGGAGGGAGGGAGGGAGGGAGGAACTAGGTATAGTGGCACATGTCCTTAACCCCAGCACTCAGGAGGCAGACAGCTGGATCTCTAGGATTTTGAGATGAGCTTGTTCTACACAGCAAGTTACAGGCCAGCCAAGTCTACAGAGTGAGACAGCAAGGACATGCACGCACTGCTCCAAGCCCACCCGGCATGCATGCTTCCACTGCCTAGCAGACCTTTGGATTCCATCTGTTCATCCCCCTACATCCCAAAAGATACCTACAATTTTCCTTCTTTTAGCCTTTGCCAGGCTGTCTAGATGGACTTGTTCAGTGTGCAGCCTGTCCAGTATATACATCTAACTTTCCCCTATGCCTTTTCTGGGCTTGATAGCACTTTTCATTTTAGATATCAAACGGTATCTATCTGTCTGGATAGGCAATGACTGTTCCCATTCATGCACTGAAAGATATTTTGGGACAATTATAAATAAGCCTGCTAAAATGCTCATGTGCAGATTTTTAATGCATTTGCTATCTTTAAATATATTATATATAAATATATGAATATATATCTCTCGATATATATCTATGTTTATATAGATATATCTGAAGTGGTAGCTTGGCAGCAGAGTACTTGTCTAGCATAAATTCAGTTTCAAACACTGTATAAATAAAGTTGCTCCTGTAGATATTCAAGGATCCTCATTAGCAAAATTATCAGCAACTATAGTATAAGTACCTATACTCAAAGGTCTGGGTTGAGTCTCTCACAGTCCCTGCTAAATTAGGAATTAAAGATATGGGGCAGGGATCATAGGGTAGCAGCCTCTTCCGAATTATCCAATGATTGGTGATACCCCTGTCCTCAGTGGCAAAGCCGAACACAGGACCCCAGCAGTGGATCACCGAACGTTTTCAGTCACACCACCTATAAGTAATTATGCCCCAGCAGAGTTTTCATTTTGGTTTCACAATATGCTGTGCTCATTTCCCACACTGCATGTGCTTATCCAAGCTTCAGGAAGATATCGGAGGTGATTTAGTTTTGAGTCAGCCTATGAGTGCTGAAGAATAATTTCTGTAGCCTCAGAGAATTGTTTTGAACAACCTCCTTTGTAACGATGGACTCTGCTGCCCTTTATGAGAACAGGAACCTATCCATTTGGTACATTGCTGGATCTGCAGGTCTCCCTGGTGTACCCAGGCCATGGGAAGTAGGTGGTTGGGGTATACCAGGGTCACAGGGAAACAAGGAGGAAACCCACTTTAAGTGATAACTGCCAAGAACAGTAGGTAGAAACTGGCCAGGCAGTTTTAGGGCAGGGGCCTCAAAAATGAACAGTTCTGATTCTTGTTCTTGGACAGAAGTTGAAAATGCTCCAGGGTCTATTCTGGCCAGAAGCCAGAAATGGCAAGAGTGTTTGGGGGCAGGGGCTAAATCATGATGGGGTTTCTTATTATCCTCTTCACAGCTGGAGCACACGTGCATGAAGGGTTGAGTGAAGGGGTGTCCTAAATGGCACACAGACATCCATGGGTAGGCCAACTAGACAGATCAGCTCACCTCTCCGGCATACAAAAAGCTCCTGTAGCTAGCAGCTAACGGCAACCCATCTGTTGGGTCCACTCCTGTTATACTGGAGTCCTGCTGCCCCCTGCCTCTCAAGTTCTCACCTGTAAACCTATACATAATTCCTCCTAGACTCCTTCTTGTCTATGAAATTCATTCCAGGTCAGGAGATGAAGGATCTGGAAGCCACTGTCCTTGCCTGTGGTGGCCTTGGTGGCTGTTAACTGTCCAGGACTCAAGCACCCTGAGTGATGTTTGCCTAAGGGAGAAGTCTCACTATTTTCCCCTCAAATCGTTACTACCTTAGGAGACGTAAACATTTGTAAAGAGCTAGCATTTCCAATAAAACCAATTCCCTGGCAATCTGCGCAGCAACTTTTCATCTGTACGGCACAAACAAGGATAATAACTGTAGGCTTTCCAGACAGAGTTTACATAGATCCTACCAGGAATAAAGATCATGGGCTATATATTTCTTAGCTCTTAAGAGACGTAGCTAGTCAAGATTTAAAACTTCCCTTATGATAAATCCTTATCTTATTTGACTAGCTATATTTCTTAAGAGCTAAGAGATACATATTAATTAAAACAAGAACTCTCCATGCTGGAAAGACGGCTCAGTGATTAAGAGAACTTGATTAAGAGAACTTGTTCTTGAAGAGGACTGTGTTCAATTTCTCGTTACAACCACCTGTTAACTCCAGGCAGGGGATCTGACGACCTCTTCTGGCCTAAGTGGGAATTGCATGCAAACACATAAAATTTTTTAAAATTTTGAAACTCTGCCTAAATTTATTTGCTCACCCACTAAAATTCCACTTATACTACAAGGCATACAAGTAAAGCAATTCATTATTTTTCTCCCAACTACCTCTCTGGTATGTTATATTTGTTTTGTTTTTTTACCCTCTGATTTTTAAAATCAATTTACTCTATTTTCAAAATACTTCGGTCTGTCTGAGTACAAGAATATTTCTTATTAAATACCATCAAATAATATTTTACAACATAAAATATGTGTTTTAATCACTTTATTTTTAATTTATATATTATTTGTATGTGAGAGAGAGGAGAGAAGGGGGGTGCCACAGAGTGCTTGTGGAGGTCAAAAGACAATCTTTTGGGGTCAGTTCTCTTTTTCAACCTTCATGTGGGTTCTGGATACTAAAGTTAGGTCAGCAGGATTATGTAGCTGGGCCATCTAACTAGCCACAATAAAATCTGTTAAGAGAATGGTGTTCTGTTATTATTGTCGGATTAACATAGTCTAGGCAGCAGTGGGAAACTCATTTGTCTACAAAAGTTTTCTATTAGAGTTAATGTCTATTCCTCAGCTCTCTGGCTTCCCCCTACCCTTTCTTTCTCTTCAATTCCGTTTGGTTTTTCAGAAAGAGCAATAAGGAAAGTGCGCCTGCCTGGTTGGTACTTGGCATTTGATATTCACGAGCTTCTAGAAACTCAGATCTATCTATCCCCTGCTGCGTTTGAGCCACACTGTTGAGAATGCAGGCTTGGGGAGGGGGACTGCAGACTGCAGGGGGGCAGTGTTTTCCTTGAAACCACCCTTTCTCTGACTTGCTTGCCAGGACTTCTTGGAGACTTGACTGCTGCCCCAAAGCTGTCAGGTTGTTGAGAAGAATTCTCTGAAAGCTGGTCACCTGCTGAGCCCAAGTGTGTGCCTCACAAAAAGTCAATATTTCCAGCTCTCCCTTAGCCCTAGCGAGTTTAAAGGGCTTTCTGGTGTACATCCTTTGATTGTGAGAGAGTGCTGGTAAGGAAAATGGCTTTCATCTTTTGTCTGTGGAGGGTGGAAAGAAGCAGAGTTGCTCTGCTCTAGTCTTCACCAGCCTTTCCTTAGAAGAAGTTAATTCATTTAAAAAATAGTCGAAGAGCAGTAACAACAACAATAAGCATAAGACCACAGGCAAGGGCATCGTGATGCAAAGTCAGACACATTTGCATTCTCTAACGTTTGCTGGCCTGCAAAGTGAGGGTCGGCTGAGGAAAGAAGGTAGCACAAGAGGAAATTCCAAGGCCTATGTGGCAGCAGGAAGGTCTTGGTTGTTACATAAATTACTAAGGTCCGTAATCTAATTTATACGTCTTACTAAAGGAGAGCGCTTTTTGAGACAGGTTTTTCTCTAGCCCAGGCTGGCCACCAACTCACTGTATATCCAAGATGACCTTGAACTCCTGATCCTCCTGCTTCTACCTCCCAAACTCTGGGATAACAGGTGTAGGCTACCATACCCAGCCTCTCTTTGCTGACAGGTGTGGCTGTGTATGACTTTAATCCTGGAACTCTGGAAGCAGAGGCAAGTGGATCTGTGTAACTTGGAGGCCAGCCTGGTCTACACAGCAAGTTCCAGACCAGCTAGACCTACATAATGAAACCTCTGGCTCCAGATACTGTGATTTTAAGATTTATTATTATTTTTTAAATGTATAGTTGTTTTGCCTACGTGTATACCTGCAGTCACGTGAAGTACATGTGGATTATGTAAAGCCCTTAATAACCGAGCCATCTTCCTAGCTCCTTACATAAGTTTCAAACAGAGCATTTTATGCTAGTATTTCTTTAGAGAAAATAACATCTATATTAGACTAACCCCACTTGTGATAACTGGATGAGAAATGTCCTCATACGTGCTGGCACTTGAGCACATGGTCTCCGGTTGGTGGTGCTGTTTGGGGAGATCATGGAACCTTTAGGAGGTTCAGCTGGAGGAAGCCCATCATTGGAGGTGGGCTATGAGCCTATATAGCCTCACCTCATTTCCTGTTCGTTTTCTCTGCTTCCTATGTACGGAATAAAATGTGATCAGCCACCTTCCGACTCCTGCCACGATGGACTTGATTCCTCTGAAATCTTAAGTCAAAGAACCCTTTCTTCTCTAAACTGTTTTTGGTCATGGTGTTGAATCACAGCAACAGCAAAATAACAACCTTTAAAGAAATGACTTTTAGCTTGCACAGTTAGGCTTTTTTATCAGTAGGCTACGATACTGCTACAATCTGAATGTTGGTGTCTCTTCAAACTTCAAGAGTTAAAAATCCACTCCTCCCTGAGAAGGGCGGTATGCACCAAAAAGGGATCGCAGCCCTCCAGGTCATGGCACTAGGTGAGTGAGGTCACTGGGAGGTGATTGGCCCTGAGAGCAGAGGTGGAAAGGCACACCCTAAATGTGGGCAGCATCAGGCTGCTAGGATGGCGGGTTGAATGACAGGAGAAATAGAGCCTAGATGCAATGCCAGCAGCTCCCTCATAATCTGGCCCCCGCTGCCTCTGTGCCCAGACGAACTATATCCTTCAACTGTGAGCCAGAATAAACTCTTGCTTCCTTATGTTTCCCTTTCAGGTATTTTTGTCAGAGCATCAAGACAGCAACTGATGCAGCTCTCCGTATGGGCTCCTCACATGTACATAAATATGGAAGAATATCCAACTGGTTTCAGCCTTGAGTGGGAGTAGGGTCATATTGACCAAAAATTATTTAGCCCACTACTTATTTTCCTGCTAGATTTTCTTAACTTTTCCTTTTTTAATAAGAATTTCAGTCTTATAAAAATGCATAAATAGTGAACAATCTTATAATCCATTCACAGAGTCACAATGTGTGCCACGCTTCCTCAGTCCTCTCTAATCTAGCCTATCTATTGCATTTTAGTTGACTAAAAGCCCATTTTCAACTTTGATTACAGGCTTCACCCACACGGCGCTAACCGACTTGGAGGCCAGTACTCTTTCCCGCTGGCACAAATTCAGCAAGGGTCATAGGGGACTGGAGATGGCAGCCCCTAAAACGATTCTGGGAGCCGGGCGTTGGTGGCGCACGCCTTTAATCCCAGCACTCAGGAGGCAGAGGCAGGCGGATCTCTGTGAGTTCGAGGCCAGGCTGGACCGACAGCCTCCAAAACAGAGAAACCCTGTCTCGTAAAACCAAAAAAAAAAAAATTAAAATGATTCTGGGAGTGGTGCTGCTGCCCTGTGTTGGGAGAGAGCGTGTCCAGGGGAGAGACGATTAAACAAAGATCTGGGGCTGAGCTTGAACACCAGGTCCAACAGAACCGATCAAACCAAAGCAGAGTCGGTCATGCTAAGTGCCAGACTGTGAAAGTGAAGGTGTAAAGGAGCCGAAAGATCCCAAAGGTGAAAGCAGGTTCCAGTCCACCTAGGCCAGCCAAATAAGGATATCCAAATAGATAACTACACGAACAAACAAATAAAAGTTGAACCATGGTTCTGCTTCTGTGTTCCCTTCTTAGGAAGCCAAGTCCTGCTCTTACTGCCTGTATAAAGTGAGGACATGGCTACTCCAAGGTATGGCTGAGGAGAAGGATCTTTTTTTTTTTTTTATTTTATTGTAGATATGAGGGAGAGTACAGCCAGAGGCGTCTGGAAGAGTCCAGAGCAAGGGAAGTAGTATATTGAACATGGACAGTAGGGTGGACCAGGCCATGAGGGGAGGGGGGGAGAGGAGAGAGAGGAAGACAAAAGAGAGGACCAGAAAGAGAGGCAAGAGGGGGCCAAGAGGACCAACAGAACTCAAGGCCAAAACGACAGGGTTACCTAGAATGAGGAGCTGGAGCAGCAGCGGAGAGGTTGGGGGTGGGGGGGGTGGGGCGAGAAGCGCTAAGAGGAGTCCCAGGGTGCTGACTGAGCCTGGAGGCCAGCAGACACTTTGGTATGTTAATAGGCATCGGTTAGCCCTTTGTCTGAGTTTCTTACGCACCTGACACTGCCTGACAGTTCCCAGGCGGTTTAAGTGAACTCTACCTCGACTCCTGAATTTCCAATAGTAGCTAATTACTTTTAATTTAAACATTGTTTTTAAAAGATAGGGTCTCTCTACGTGGTCAAAAGTGGCTTCCAATTCCCAGCCCTTGTCCCTCAGGCGTACACCATCACATTCGACAATTTATCTTCTGACAGAAGCAGAAGGAGACAACACAGACAAATTCCCTCCCAAGCAATGGTTCTCAAGCCGGGGGTCATGACCCCTTTTTGGGTGGAAAGACTCTTTCACAGCGATCGCCTAAGACCATCAGAAAACACAGATCTTTACAATTCATAACAGTAGCAGAATTACAGTTCTGAAGTAGCAACGAAAATAATTTTACGGTAGGGGGTCACCACAACATGAGGAACTGTCTTAAAGGGTCGCAGCATTAGGAAGGTTGAGAACCTTCAGAAGGCTAGCAAAACCAGGCAGAGAGCATCCCCACTTCCCAAAGAGGAAAGGGACACAGCCTAATCAATGTCAGTTAGGGATCAACAGAAACTCCTTAAAGTCCAATCTAATCCCAAAGCATACTCCTCAGTTCTAGGTTGAGTCCCTCTAATTTTTTAGTGCCGTGTTTTTATTAAGCTCGTGAAAGGATTATGGTCTTCAAGATGGAACAAAGGGTAAAGGATTACCATATGCATTTGGCTCATCTTTTAAAAAACAAGGTGGAGGACCGTCTGAGGTGGCACACCCAGCAATCCCAGCACTCGGGGAGGCTGAGGCAAGAGGACTGCTGAGAGCCGTGGGCTAGAAAACAAGACCCTGTCTCAAAAACAGAAAAACAAACAAACAAAAAAACCCAGGGGCTATAGAGATGGCTCAGTGGTTAAGGACACGGATTTGGTCCCCGACACCCACATGGTGGCGCATAACCACGTGTTAACTCCTGCTCCTGGGGACCCGACGCCCTCCTCCGGATGTCCACTGGCAGGCACCAGGCACGCACGTGGTGCACATATGTACACGGCAGGCAAAATACTCACACTAGTAACATTAGTGGGTATCGAGAAGAAATAGCAGAAAAAGAAAACCCCGTCTAACCAAAGAAGGAGCTTTGAATGCCCCGTGCTTAGGGCGACTAAAGGAGACCTTTGCCATCAGATCAGCTGGCTCCAGCAGGCAGGGGTCCTCCCGGGCTCGTCTGGCCCCCTCCCCCTCCCGGCAGCCCTTGCGCGGGGAGGCGGGCCGGTCTCCGGCTCTCCCACTCTGCGGATCGCCTTGGCGGGCGTTTTGAAAGGCCGGGCGCACGCAGAGGCTCCCGCAGCCGGCCTCCCGCTCCACGGTGCGGGGCTGGGTCGAGGGCCCACGAGTGGGTCTGGGTGGCTGAGAGCGCAGGGTCCCCCGACCGGGTCACCGGCAAGGACGCGGCGCTGACCGGCGCCCTGAAGCCGCCGCCGTGCGGCGGACCGACTGCAGCCAGGGCGCCGCCCGCAGTTGCCGGCGCCGCGGATAGCTTCCGGGGCTTCCTGGAGGGAGCAAGGACTTTGCTGCGCCGTGTCACAGACGGAGCCCGGAGCACGCGGAGAGGGAAGGGAGGAGACGCGAGTTGCTCCCACAGGCGCCGGGTCCCGAGCCGCCGAGCCCCCGGGGGCGCGGCCTGCGCATGCGCACCCCCTGCCTTCCTGCCCGCGCACGCTCGGTCCGGCCGCCCGCCGGGTCATGGAGACCTCGGGAGGCGCTGGGGGCGCCTTCCTGAAAGGTGAGGAGACACGCCTAGTTCTTTTTTTGGGGGGGGGGTGGTTCTGCGTGACGCGTGCTCGGAAGCCCTTCCTGGGCCACCCGGGTCCCCTGACTCAGGGTCCTCATCAAGCTGTGTGGCCCGCCCACCCCAGTCACTGTGTGGCCTTCACCTCTCTCGGGGTCCCTGCCATGACACCTATGCGAGTGTGTCGCGTGTGTGTCCCCCCACCCCCGGTGTAACCTGAACCCTGGGCAGCTGGCAGGAGGATCAGGTCCTATCTTAGCTCTCACCTCTGAGGCCTGGGTAGTTGTGGGAAGAGGAAAAGTAATTCTTTTGGTAATAATGGGAGTGGCCTCTCGGTGGGTCCTACCTACTCTGAGCTGGCACTCGTGGAACCTTCTTACTTTTGTGGTGTAAGGAGAGCAAGGCTTGTTCCTCCTTTGCTTAGCAGGGTCCTCTTGGTTGAGCCCGCAGGGTGCCTGTTGACAGGCATGACTCCACAAACTGAGACCTGGGCTGTGCTGATGCCGGTTGAGGTTGGCTTTGAGGAAAGGTCTGTGTGGAGGGACTTGGAGTGCCACAGCTGAAAGAACAGACTGACTAGTCGTTTGCACAATTCCGTAACCAGGCAGGGGTGACTGTTTTTCTGGTATTGCTGCAGTATTTTGTAACAGAACCAGGTATTGCATTTGCTTCCCCACTGTTACTTAGCAGTGGGACCTCTTGGAGAAAAAAATAATTTGGTTTTGGAGACAGTCTCAAACCCATGCTAACCTACAATACTTGCTAGGCAGCTGAGGCTGACCTTGAATCCTCCTGCCTTGAGATGGGATTAAAGGTGTGGGCTTCCAAGTGTTGTAGTAGGCTTAAAACCCAGAACCTACTGCATGCTAAATAAGCAGTCTATCAACTGTGCTACATCTCCAGCCCTTCTTCAGAGTTTAGATATGAAAAAAAAGATGAATCTAATTTCCTTCTCCATATATATTTTAAGACAAGGTCTCCTGCAGCCCAAGCTGGCTTCCAACATGCTCTATAGCTGAGGCTGGCCTAGAACTCTTGACCCTCTTGCCAAATCCCTAAATGCTAAGGTTACAGTCATGTGCTAATATGCCCAGCTCCACAAACAAAATCTTACTAGAACAAAGATATATTGGCTTGTTAACCTACTGCCTATGATATGGCCTGGAATAATTACTGTTTGTTTACAGAAAGCAGAATTCAGGATAATTAAGCCCAGGTTAGGAAGATTTTTAAGTACCACCAAAATAGCAGTGACGATATTTTGAACATATTCCTAATAGAAATTTTCATTTATTTTCTTAACATAAATAAAACTAGAGGAAAACCTGTTGAGCAGGGGGTATTGCAATTTTACAGTGTGTATTTCCCCCTGCTAATGTCTTGCTTATTTTCAGATATTGTGGCCTATGTTGAAGTATGGTCTTCCAACGGGACAGAGAATTACTCAAAGACATTTACAAAACAACTTGAGGATATGGGGGCAACGGTAAGAAATTAACATCAGAATGATTGATAGCCCACTGGCATTTTCTTGTTAGGGGAGCTGTTCCTTAGAAGACGAAGGACGTGGAAGACAAAACAAAGAAACGAAATAGCAGTTGGGCAGTGGTGCTTACAGAGCAGATGGTCTTGGAGGGTGTGAGGAGAAATCTAGGAGGAAACAGGAATCTGACAAGAATAAAGATACAGGAGAATCTAAGTTCCTAAGGGAAGGCTGTGACCTTAGACTTACTGGAAACATCTCATAGCCATTTAACTATCCATATCTACAGCTTGAAGCAGTCACAGCTATAGATTGCTATGTGGCACCAAGAGCTCTGGGTTCAGGAGAGAATATTGGCCTCACTCAGATTCCAGTTAGAGTGAATAGTGCTGAAGGAGGTGGCCTTTTGAATATTTAAGGACCAGTAATGGCCTGACCACCAACCCAGGGGCAAGAGAGAAAAATATGTCAGGAAAATGCGGAAGCAAGTATGGAAGAATTAAAAGACTGGAATTCAGCCAGGTGTTGGTGATATACCCCTTTAATCCCAGCATTTGGGAGACAGAGGCAGGTGGGTTTCTGGTTCAGTGCCAGCCCGGTCTACATAGTGAGTCCCAGGACAGCCAGAGCTACATGGAGAAACCCTGTTGCAAAACAAACAAAAACAAAAGATGGGGATTCAGAACAAAAGAGCCCCCAAGGAAAGGTATGATATACGTGAGGTTTGAAAACTCTGAGGTGACTTTCTTAGTTCACTTTCTCATTATAGAGATAAAGGGGTTTGAGGTAAGTCTAAGAATCCTGGCTTAGAGCCAGGCGTTGGTGGCGCATGCCTTTAATCCCAGCACTCGGGAGGCAGAGGCAGGCGGATCTCTGTGAGTTCGAGGCCAGCCTGGTCTACAGAATGAGTTCCAGGACAGCCTCCAAAACAATACAGAGAAACCCTGTCTCGAAACCCCCCACCCCCAAACAAAAAAGAATCCTGGCTCAGGAGAAAATGGAGACAGTGCTCTGGTAGGCAGTTTTGCTTTGAACAATGTGTGCTCACTTACTGGTCTTCAGGAGCCGCTCACTGACATAAGGTAGGTGACAGGATAGATAACTCAAGGCAGTGTAAGCATTGATGTTAGAAGAAAATTGAAAATGTATTTAATCACACAGCTTAGCAGCTCTGTGTGTGTGGAGCAGTGGCGACTCTTGGGACTGACTGAGAATTGCTGTTCTTTGCATCATGAATTGTAGTGTAATGCATATCCTACAGTACATAGCCCACTTAACAAAATGCCGTTTCTACCACCTCAATCCCAAGTAAAACCGTGATAAATCAGGGACTTTCTATATGGAAGGCCAGTGTAGTTTCCATTGAAGAGGCACAGCAGGTTTTGTTACACTGACATGTGGGACACCAAGTAGAGTTTTATTTTAGGAGGGTTGGAGTGTAAATTCTGGCTCATGTCTCCGTCTAGATGTAGTCCGTGGCAACCCCATCCAAGGTGTGGGATTTTTTTTCCAGATCCTCGTCTGTTAAGCTGTTAAAGGCGTACAGGTGCTGTTTATTGTCTGATAATGGGAACATCTCAGGGAGGGTGTCCCCAGCTGTTAAGTTGGGCTCTTTCTGATTGCCTTGAGAATGGCTGTGCACTGTTTAAAACTACTATGACAGGGCTGTGAAATCTGTAACGAAGCCCTTTGTCCTTTGCTTTATGGTCCTTTTGTGCTGGGAGAGAATTCTTGGTCTCATGAGTACTAGTACACCATCAGTGAGCTAGGTCCCCAATCTCTTTACAGTTCTGGAAAGATAATCATTTAAAAAAAGTTTTTAAACATGTATGGGTGGAGGACAGGAACACATAGCATATGTGTGGTCAGAAGACAGCTTGAGGTGGAGCAGGGCCTCCTACCATGCAGGACCTGGAGAACACCTGTCATTAGACGTGGTGGTGCAAGTGACTCCCTTTACCCACTGAGTCGTGTCACCAGACCCCAAATGTTTTGTTTTTAAACTCTTCTTTTTTATACTTGCTTTCATATTTCCAGTGTACAGTACTTTCCAGGGAAGATAAAGTCCAAGACCTCCCCCCCCCAGGATGCCTGAACTTGCAGATAGTACAGAGCCCTATCTATGCATACACACCCATGAGCTGGCCCAGTAGTATAGGGCAGTATCCCAGCTACCTGAGAGAGTGAGGCACATAACCAAGTTGAAGATGTCTTATCAGGTCTTGTATCACAGTTAAAAAAATAAAAACAGCTTTATTCTCAGTACTAGTGAGGCAGAGGCAGGTGGATCTCTGTGAGTTCGAGACCAGCCTGGTCTACAGAGCAAGTTCCAGGACAGCCTCCAAAACAATACAGAGAAACCCTGTCTTGAAAAACAAAACAAGAAAATAAATAAGAACAGAAAGGGTTGGTTATGTACGTATAGATTTAGTAGTAGAATATCTGCCAAGCATGCTTAATACCACAGGTTCAAGCCTCCCCAGTACTGGGATTATAAGCATGAAACACCATGTCTGACTTTTTACACAAATCCAGCAAATCAAACTTGCAGTTGTTTTTTGTTTTTTTGGTTTTTTTTTGTCTCTTTTACTTTTGGGGGGGCTGCCACCCAGCTCCAAGTAAATATACAAAGGAGGCTTATTATTACTTATGAATGCCTGGCCTTAGCTTGGCTTACTTATTGCCAGCCTGCCCTCCTTCCTTCCTTCCTTCCTTCCTTCCTTCCTTCCTTCCTTCCTTCCTTCCTTCCTTCCTTCCTTCCTTCCTCCCTGCCTCCCTCCCTCCCTCTCTCTCTCTCTCTTTCTTTCTTCCTTCCTTTCTTTCTAATTTTATGTGCATTGGTGTTTTGCCTGCATGTATGTCTGTCAGATATTGGAGTTACAGACAGTTGTGAGCTGCCATATGGGTGCTGTGAATTGAGCCTGGGTTCTCTGGAAGAGCTGCCAATGCTGTGGAAGAGCTGCCAATGCTCTGAACCACTGAGCCATCTCCAGCCCCCATTACCAGATTTTCTTAAATTATCTCATCTATCTTTTGCCTCTGGGCTTTTCTCTTTCTCTGCATATTTTTCTTTATTTCTTACTCTGTGGCTTGCTGTGTAACTGGCCCCTGATGTCCTCCTCCTGTTGCTCCTTCTCTTTTTCCCAGATTTCTCTTCCCATTTATTCTCTCTGCCTGGCATCCCTGCCTATCCTTTCTCCTGCTTTGCTATTGGCCATTCAGCTCTTTATTAAATAATCCGGTGTTTTAGACGGGCACAGTAACACAGCTTCACAGAGTTAAAGACAAATGCAACATAAAACAATGCAACATATCTTTGCATCATTAAACAAATGATCCACAGAATAGACAAATGTAACACATCTTAAAATAGTATTCTACAACACAAACTGCGGATATCAGTATTTGCAAAGCAGACACTTCACTGACTGAGCCATTTCCCCAGTCCCAAAAAGCATATTTCGACTTAGTATTTTAGCTGATTGAAAAATATTTTAGCTGATTGAAAAATATTAGCATGTACTCTTTGTCCCTGAAGGAATGGATTCATTACCTTTTTACACAAAGTCTCATTATATCGCTGTACTCAATCTCAAGTGATGATCCTCCTACCTCAGTCTCTGAAGTGCTAGGATTACAGGCTTGTGCCACCATACCCAGCTTCTACATTCTCTTCTGACTTCAGATTGCTATTGATAGTGTCTGATCTAGTTGTTCTCATTGCTTGAAATGATGGCATGTGTGCTGGCTAGTTTTATGTCAGCTTGACACAAGCTAAAGTCATCTGTAGTATATCTCTTAATTAGTGATTGATGGAGGAGGGTCCAGCCTATTGTGGGATGTGCCACCCCTTGGCTGGTGGTCCTTGGTTCTTTAAGAAAGGAGACTGAGCGAGCCAGGGGGAGTAAGCTAATAAGCAGCACTTGGGAGGCAGAGGCAGGCACATCGATGAGTTCAAGGCCAGCTTGGTCCACAGAGTTCCAGGACATCAGGGCTACACAAAGGAGCCCTGTCTCTGGGAGGAGAGAGGGGAAGACAACTTTCCTCCCAAGTTGCTTTGGTCATGGTATTTTGTTTCTTAACAGCAATAGTTAGTAACCAAGTCAGGATATGTGATTGGTATGGAGCATTTCTCACACTGTGCTATGCCTTAAAAGGGTCTTTTGATACAGAATGCAGGTCTTTTTATAATTTGTTTCGTTTCCCCAATTTGTTATGTTTTAACCCCCTAACTTGGCTACAGGATTGTGATCTGTACTTTTTATGGTCCTGTCTTGCCTTATTACTTATTCTCTGTGTGCTCTGTTGCTGGGGAGATTTTATTTACCTGGCTGTCTACTGTTTCTATGGATTTTTTTTCCCATTCTTAACTCTTTAGGTCTTGACCCCTTTGAATTATCTGATCTTATCACATACATATTGCATTGTCTCAAAATACTGCTTTTAGCTTTAATTAGATACATATTCTCCTTGCTGTTTGTTTCCTCCAAAACACTGTCTCTCTTTAATGTAGGAGATTTTCATTTATATATTTATCTACTGACTTATTGAGAGAGGGTCTCGTGTGCTTAGGCTGGTCTAGAACTGGCTGTGTAGCAGATGATGATGGCCTTGACTATGTGTCTCCACCAAAGCACTATGATTACCAGTGTCTACCACCATACCTGGCTTTTAAAAATGGTGGGAGGATAGAACCCTGTTCTTTGTGTGTGCTAGGCAAGCATTCTATCAACCGAATTATGCCCACAGCCCAACTTGGCAAGTTCAGAAGAATGTAAGGTGTGTGTGCCTATGCATGTGCACACTTGCCACAACTCACATGTGGAGGTTAAAAGCTGAAGATGGTTTTCAGACTCCCAGTCTTTCCAGCTGTAAGAAGATGCTGCCTTCTCCTGTCCGTTTTTCTTTTCCTTGTGCTTTACCCCCAGGGGCTCCTGGTTTGGTCTCTCCCATTCTCTTTATCCTTGTTCTGTTCTTGGAAGCTTTATTGTTGGAGTAAGGGTGACATGAGCAGAAGCGTTATTGGGAGGTAAGGGTGACATGAGCAGAAGCGTTATTGGGAGGTAAGGGTGATGTGAATGCTAGCCCTCATTCTGATTGCAGCAAATGTCTCATTATGTAGTTCTGGCTGACCTGGAACCCTGTGTGGACCAGGCTGACCACAGACTCAGAGAGAGCCTCCTGCTTCTGCCTTCTAAGGGATAGGTGCTGGAATCAAAATTATGTACCATCATGCTATGAAAAAAAAAAAAAACATTCCACATCCACCACAGTATTTTTTTCTGGTCTATTATGAGAGGTGAAATTCTCTGGTAAGGGTTTTGATCATTTTGACAAATTTTGAACAGATAGCAGTGAGTTACTTAGTTTTTGGATTTTGTCCACAGGTTTCAAAAACTTTGAACAAGCAAGTGACCCATGTGATCTTCAAAGATGGGTATCAAAGCACCTGGGACAAAGCCCGGAAGACAGGGGCGAAGCTGGTTTCCGTCCTCTGGGTTGAAAAGTAAGTAGTTGCCCTCTATTTTTCTCCTACAGTTTTCTAAGATTGGTCCAAATCTAATTTTAATGCTTTGACTGGGTCATAGAATTCGGTAATATTTGATTTTCATCTTTTCTTGGCTTTCTGTGGAGGCCAGTACCTTAATATCTTTAAGTCTTAGTTTCTGCAGCTGAAAAATAGATGAAGTGCTGATTCCATGCAGAGAGAGGGTGAGTATGAAGGCCTAAGATGTGCAGGAGACTTGTAGAGTGTGACAGAGCACTGTGTATCATTACCTGATGTTGCTGTTAACATTAGGTAGCATTAGGTTGTCATTGCAGGAGCTTATTTTCCTCACAAACTGTGTACCTCAGTCGTCTGTTGCTTTATACTTCTGCTTGGTGAAGCAGAAAAATGTGGGTGGACATTGGGTAAATCTGCTTTTTGCTTTTAAGTCATCTCTTTTAATTGGCTTATCCAATTTGAGTAGCCAAACCTGACTTGGGGCACAAGTTATAACCCCCAAGTGTAATAACAATCCCAGTACTCCCCACTTGGGGTCTGAGATGGAGGGAGAGGAGTAGAGGCAGGAGGAGGACCAGAGTTCAAATTCATCTTCTACTATATAGGAATTGTTGTTTGAGGCAGTGTGGGCTATGTAAGACCCAGTCTCCAAGAAGAGGAAAAAAGCCCTTTGTATTAGAGATGCAGGAAATAGCATAACTGGCCTGATATGGCATTTTTATTTAATTCCCCTTTCCAGTCAGAATCATTGGACCTCTGTATATACTACTATTCTGTAGATATGTCCTTCTGCAGGTTTAAATGCCAGAAATTGGGTTTTTAACTCAAAGGGGCTTTCACATTGTGATTTGTGGTAGATGCTGCCAAATTTTCCTAGAAAGAATACCTTAATTTCTATTCTTTCAAGTAATATGAAAAGCTATGTCTTAATTTGTCAGTAAAGAGTATTGTTTTTATTCTAATTTTTCCTAACTTTAAGTGAGCGGAAATGACCTCTGTTAGTCACTGGTCTGGCTTCTCTTTTTAACTGCCCAGGATCACTCATCAGTTTCTCATTGGCTGTCATCGTGTGTGTGGCTTCTAGTGTCCCATTGTGCTGGGTCTGTTGGGCACCAGGTTTCATACTTTAACAGTCTCTGATGAAAACGACCTTTCCTTTGGACAGCAGAAAATTTTATATCCAAGAAAACAAAAGATGAAGACAGAGTAATTAAAGATCAACCTGGCTCTCATCTCTTGGGTCTTTTGGAGAAAGTTGTTCATAAGTTAAAATTTTAAAACAGTCACTAACATACATTAAAAAAAAATGAAATGCATCCATTAACTATTATCAGCCTGTTAAAGGAAGGTCTAAGACTGCTTGCTGCAGGTCCAGGACCTAGACCTGTGGAGGAGTGACCCTTAGGGGTCAGTGTGACTGGCAAGTGCATGGTGATGCAAGGGACGGAGAACGTGAGGGACCTGCAGTGGCCACTTTCCAAAGCAGTGCGAGACAGAGTGGTGATCAGCGTGCCCACTGCTTTAAGACCTGCTGTCTGGCTACCCTTTGCAAAGTCTCAGCATGCCCCTAGCTAACGTGTGCATCCTGCTAGAGGTGGGATGGACTGTAGGTGGCGCTAGGCTGACAGACGGTCAGAGAGCAGTTTGGCTTCTAATGTGACATGAAAAATGGGCCTGGCAAACTTCAGGTGACCAGCGGACACTATCGTATTTCCACAAATGACTTTCTTTGCACAATTACATAATTGCATTTCCTTTTTTAGCACCTAGTTCAGCTATAGTTTCCTCCAATAATATTCGAAGAACATAGTCCTGTGTCCTGTGCTGATTCTCATCTGGATCCAGCCACCTGGTGAAGGATGGAGACTGGTGCGCGGACACTCTGCTTTCTTCTGACCCTCACTGGGGACAGCCTGGTGTTCAGTACCTGGAACTCAGATCCCAGTCCAGCTCCACCCGTGTTTGCTCTGCACAGACACCCCTCAAACACGCCTTCCTGTGCTGTTCCTTGTGTTCCAGGGGGACAGCTGTTAGGACTGTGTGCTAGCCAAGTGAATATTTTCAGATATGCCCAGTACCCGATCCGATATGTCTGTGTTCGAAAACAATACGCTGCTGCTCAGGTGCCTCCCTGACTGTTTTAAGGGGTAAAGGGCAGTGAGGGAGCAGCCGGGCTGGCCCTGGGGAGAGAGTGGAAATTACAGGTTATCTCTTGGGGAGAAGCCCTCTTAATGGGAAGCAAGCCGCTGTGGCCTCCCTGGGCTACAGACCTTGTCTGCACTGCTTGAGACACTGTTTCGACTTGGCCACTAGATGGGGTGCTGATGTTGCCATTTTGCATTTCTGAAAAATACTAGAAGTCTAAAAGAAAGCATGGGGTGCCAGGTAAATGTGAGGCTTTTTGTTATCAGTGCAGTTTGGTTTTTATTATTATTATTATTATTATTTTTTTTTTTTTTGGTTTTTACGAGACAGGGTTTCTCTGTATTGTTTTGGAGGCTATCGGTCCAGCCCGGCCTCGAACTCACAGAGATCCGCCTGCCTCTGCCTCCCGAGTGCTGGGATTAAAGGCGTGCGCCACCACCGCCTGGCGGTTTTTATTATTTTTATATGTCTGTGTGGGTATGTGCACGTGAGTTATTACCCAGGAAGGCCAGAGGCATCAAATCTCCTTGGAGTTGGAGTTACAGCTGGTCGTAAGCTGCCTGATGTATGCCCTAGGAATCGAGCTCCAGTCCACTGGAAAAACATTACATGTCCTTAACTACTGATTCATCTCTTTAGACCTTGTTTTTGTTTTTTGAGACAAGGTCTCACTTTGTAGCCCAAGCTGGTTTGGAACTCACAGAGAGTCACCTGCCTCTGCCTCCAGAGTGCTGGGATCGAAGATGTTTATAATCATACCTAGTTCAGTGTGAGTTTTTACCGAGTAACTTCATACTTAACATCAGTGTGATCATGCAAGTCCCTTGCCTAGATTTGTTACTGACATCATGTTTTATTTCATGTGTGAACTGACTGAATTCCAAACCTGAGCTTGTCACCTCCTAAAGGTGAGTTATTGAGATACTTAATCTAAAGTTAGACAAAACATGTCTTCTATAACTGTCCCCTAGACCAGACAAATTTTGCTGATAAGAATCAATCCTTTCCCCAAACTATTAGCTATAGAACATGTTTAGTAATTTTATAAACTTGGGCAGATTTAGTTTGTAAACCCAAAGGGAGACGGCACTGCTTACACACCAGATCTGGTGCAGACATCTCCAGACTAGCTGACCTTCTCCTTACGGTGACCAGGGTATTCTGTATGTGGTGATAGGATCCCAGACTTAGTTTCTCTTATGTTCAGAGGAGTTCCCACCAGTTCTCTGCTTTTACTGACATTTTTCTTGAGTGAACAACTGGTAAGAACAACTCAGGATTAAACTCGTAACCAGGCTAGAGAAGAAGCACATAAGAGACATTTCCCTCCTGCTGCTCTTTGACTACTTTTGCTCGCTTTTCTCGTTTGTCTTGTTTTTTCCCTTTCATCTCCAACCTTCTCTTGTCTGACCGTGTATGTATCTGTAGCTCAGCAGTCTTTGTGCCGCTGCCTCCACAATGTTGAGATCCCTGGCATGAGTCGGTCAGTACGCCCAGCTCTTCTGTTGGGACCATTCCTAAAGCTATGGGCTTCTGGAGGCTTAAATGATGGGATTGTTTCTTAAAACCAGCTTTGTAAATGTATGACTTAAACCAAGTGTGGGGCTCATGCTGGTAACATTTGCATTTGGGAGGCTGAGACAGGAGGATCACTGAGTTCAAGGCTACGTTGGGCTATTATAACTAGTTCCAAATAGCCTAGGGTACAATTTGAGACCCTGTCCCAATATGTACCTATTTAAGTTTACAGATCAATATGTTACATTTGTTAACCACCAGACTCAAAATATAGGGGTTTTATAGCCCTGCAGAGTACCTCCTGCCCCCTTGCGGTCAGCTTCCTTCTCTCCAGCCCCTACCCCAAAGCAGTCTCTTGTCTGGATTCTGTAGCCGGAAGTTAGTTTCGCTGCTGTAGAATCCCAGGCAGATGGACTCTTCAGCGTGGACTGCTTGGCTTCCTTCAGTCAATATGATGTTTTAGAGATTTCTCCATGACTTATGCAGCAATAGTTTCCTTTCATTTGTTTAGCCAAGTAGTATCTATTGCATGTACATACCACGGTGTGTTTGCCAGTGTTAGAAATTTGAGCAGTTTTCCATTTTTGGTTACTATGAATGAAGTTGTTATGGAGATCTGTGTTTGTGCCTTTCTGTGTTTTCATTTCCCGTGGCTTATTACCCAAACAAGATGGCCGCATGGTTTTGCATTCCTGCATCAGTGTGAGTGTTCTTGTGTTCTGTGCTTTCACCCACGCTTGGGATTTGTCTATCATCGGAATTTAGCTATTAAGAGTGGATATATAGCAGTCGCTCGTAAGTTCTAATTTACATGCCATACAGTTTTCTCAGAGTATACAGTCCACTGCTTTCAGACATGGCTCCGAGAGTTGTGCAGCCATCTCCACAATTGTATTTTGTATCTTTAATCGAAGCTTGTGCCTTTAACCATCACTCCCCATGTCTGAAGCCTCAGCAACTGTTTGTCTGCTCTGCCTGTATAGTTTCCCAGTTGTGGGCATTTTGTATAAATGTAGTCACATAGTATGGCAGCACCTGAGGTGGCTTCTTAGCAAAGTCCGTCTTGTTATAGTTTGTATTTACTTCTTTTTTTTCTGACCAATTATTATATGAATGTACGCGCACATGCACACACTCTCTCTCTTTCTCTCTCTCTCTCTCTCCCTCCCCCCTCTTTCAGGACTCAAACATTACAGGACTTGGGGTGTAGCTTAGTTTCTTTTCTGTTGCTGTGACAGAAATACCCTGACAAAAACAACTTAGGAAGAAAACTCTCTGAGATCTGTCTACCTGCCCCTCCTAAGTGCTGGGATTAAAATCGTGAGCCACGCCGGGCGGGCCTTTAATCCCAGCACTCGGGAGGCAGAGGCAAGCGAATCTCTGTGAGTTCGAGGCCAGGCTGGACCGACAGCCTCCAGAACAATACAGAGAAACCCTGTCTCGTAAAAACCAAAAAAACAAAAAAACAAACAAACAAAAAAAAAACAACAAAATCATGAGCCACCATACCTGGCTTTATTGGCTGTTATTTTACTTGAAATATGTGCATGCTCAAATAGGACTGGTTTGTAGTAAGATAAAAGTGTCATTTCTTCTTAGTGGATTGGGAGTATAGTCAGTGAACTATACCACACTCCTAATTCAAGTGCTCTGGCTGTCAGTCCCCTCCCCCCATACCATCCTGAGGGAGAAGCAGTAGCTGCAAAAGCAGCCACAACTGCTGGAGAGGCTCATGACACATTGTAGTAGTTAATCAAGTCATTCCTCTAACTTCACTAACTATTCAGAGATAAGCTGGGCAAGGGTCCTATAGTGGATCAAAAGACACCAGTTACTAAGGTTAGATCAAAAGACACTAGTTACTAAGGTTAGGAGTGGAAAGGAGATAGGCTGCGTAAGGGTGAGGATGCTATCAGATCAACTGAGGGAGATTAATGAGTGGAAAGTAGAATTGTCAGGATCTGCAGTTTAAAGATTCTTACAGCTACATAAGGTTAGAATTAAGTAAAAGGGGGAGAATGGTGGAGGGGAGAGGAGAAATGAGGTAGGAATGAGAGGTGAGACTGGGCTATATGTAGAATGGATATAATCAACCAATGTCAAAATCAAAGCAACACCATTAACATACTTGTGTAGGCTAGAGAGATGGCTCAGAGGTTAAGAGCACTGACTGTTCTTATAGAGGCCCTGGGTTCAATTCCCAGTACCCACATGACAGCTCACGCTGTCTGCTGCCTTATTCTTGTCTCTATGGATGTGAGGCGCATAAGTGATACACAGAGAAACATACAGACAGAACACTTGCACTCATAAAATAAAATAAGTGTAAAAAGATATTCTATAGGAGTGAAAATTGAAAAACAAAGTGAAAGTGATGTTAACCCTGTGTCAGTCAGTATCTCTTCCTTGTTGGGGTGAGTTTTGAGTCCCTCCCTGTGATGTCTCGTGTAGCACGTGATGGGAGACATGCAGTTCGTTCTAGTTCAGACTTTGAAATCAGATTTATGGGTATGCAGTGAACGACCTTTTAGGTTGAGTTTCCACTCTTCTGCCAGTAGGTGTCAGACCATCCTTGAGTCTTTTTCTGGTCCTCTATATGGAATGCTGCTGTTGCAAAATTTTAATGTATTAGATGGTAACACTTCCCCCACTTAGGTTATTGAAAGTTAAGTCCGAGGTACTGGTGTGACCATGCCTATGTTATTGTTTACCTTGTTGTCTAGACATGTGCTTACCTGGGCTCTGACTGCCTCTGTTCCTGTCTGCTTCCATGGTCTTCACCTAGTTTTAGATCAGGCCCATGATTACTTGGTTCTGAGCTCAGCAGAAATTTTCCATGTTGTTGGTCACCTATGGAGTTTGGAGGGGGCTTCCTTCTTAGGGTATTGCTATCAGGGTGCCCACGGATAATCTCATGTTTAGGCTTACTGTGCTGTGTGACACATTGGTCGCTATCTCCACAACCTTTTAACCCTGAGTCTATCAGCCTGGGTATATATCTAGCCGTGATTGTGTCTCAGCCTCTGGGTATATATCTAACCCTTGCGCCCATCTTTATCTAGTTCACTGGCTCCCGTGTCTCCAATGTAGGGAGTGAAGGTGGGTGGGGAGTGCTGATTTTATTTTGGCAGTACTTGGGATTGAACCCAGTGTGTCTCACTTGCTATACAAACACCCTAACGCTGAGCCACTCTCTCAGTCTCTCAGGCACAAAGAAAGGTAGCTTCCTTCCTCACCACCTGTCTGACCCTCTTCTGCTTTTCATTGGGGCAAGGAGACCATGTAGTGAAAGAAGATTTTGGAAAATCTAATTTATACCAGCTTATATTTGGCATTTTATGTATTTATATATTATTGTAAAATATATTAACTTTTGAATCTGCTGCCTGATACATATGCAGTTCTCATGCTATATGTTATAGCAAAAACAGTTACTCACTGGACTGCCTTGACTTGGCTCCACAGATGCAGGATGACTGGAGCACATGTTGATGAATCTTTGTTCCCTGCAGTGAATACTAATGAAGAATTACCAAGCCTAATTAGAAAAAAAGTAAGTATGCAATTTTGGTGCAGACAGGGGCGATTATGAATGTATGCACCCTTGGTTTTTTATTCTAGAAATCAGCTTTTTGCAGGTATTGTTTAGAGTATCTTAAGTTACTGTTGAGCTCTTTGCTCCTCTCACATAAAGTTTCTAGTTAGCTATAGAGTTTTTTTTAGTATGTGAATGCTTTGATGTAATCCATAGGAAATGGAAGAGAGTGCAGTTGCCCTTGGGAAATCAAAACTTGCCACAGGACTAGGCAGCCTTCTGTATTTGGTGTTTCTTTTCTTTTTTTTTTTAATTTATTTTATGTGTTTGTATGTTTTGCCTGCATCTTTGTCTATGCACTACATGCAAATCTGGTGCCCATGGGGTCTAGAAGAGGGCATTAGATCCCCTGGAGCTAGAGTTGGTTGTGGGCCATCAAATGGGTGCTGGGGATTGAACCCAGGTCCTCTGCAAGAGCAGTCAGTGCTCTCAACTGCTGAGCCATCTCTCCAGCCCCCTAGTTTTTCTTTGTTTGAGGGTAGCTCACTGTGAAGTATCTAAGCACCTTGTTCTCACACAAGAACCACTGGTGATCTAATAGGATTGAATGAGGTGGTTGAGAACTGTATACTTCCAACTGAGGAAAAGAAGTAGCTGTGGGCTTCTCTGCACTTTTAGAAGATACTGCATGATGTGCATCCATTATGTTCACCGCAGTAAGCCAGGTACCAGGGCAGACTTCCTCATCTGATTCTAGGCAGTTGTTGACTGTGACATGCCCAAGTAAAGGACTCAGAAAAACGCATTAGCAGTACATGCTATTTTCAGTTAACATACTTGGTAAACTCAGGCACAGCAGGCATCTCTGATGTTTCTTCCTCTGTCACTTCAGTTTGACCAGTGACCTGGGTAAGAGTCTGAAGTGCTCACTACATGGTAGCACATAAACCTGCTCTGCACAGTGGAGCTCTGTTGAGCTAGGTGTTTAGTTTGCTGGGCTGCCTTTTCTTCCCCACTTAATAGTGTGTCTTTGATCATGTTAATTTCACTTTATATTGTAAGTAGGCCTTTCCTATAATACACACACATACACACACACACACACACAGATATACTCACAGTCAGTTTTTAATGAAGCGTGTTACATGTGCTCACAAACAGAAGTAGAGTTGCTAGCTCAATGTGCATCAATAGTGTGCAAGGGTACCTCTTTCTTGTCCAGTGTTTTGTGTTATCTTTAAGCTTTATCTAGTCTGATGTACAAATATTGACTACCTTTATCCTATACTTACCACTTCTAAAAACTTCCTTTTTCTTCCCTTTTCCAAATGCAATTGCGAGTTAAACGTGACTTGAAAAGCATTATTATTTTTGGTGCTTGGAGGGCAATTTCTACTCTCTCCTTGTCACTCTGTCCCCAGCCTGACCATGGCTGGTTGCTCAGGAAAGAGTTTAGTCACATCATCGGATTACCTGTTCCCTTTGTCTGGATCATGTTCCCCTGAAGTCCACTGAAGACCCACTTTGCAGCTTTCCGTGGCTCTGTGTAGATGTCACATTACCCATCAGTCCTCTAGGTCTTTCTGCTGGTTCCACCCTGTGACTTAAGTCCCAAGGTGCTGTATGGATTTGGAAAATTGCTACTTGCAGGTTCTGTTAATCCTTTTTTTTTTTTTTTTTTTTTTTTGAGCGACTGAGCCCCATTCTAACTGCCACCATTTGTCTAGTGGTAGAAAGAGACCCAGTGCTAAGGTCACCGAGGAGAACTTCTGTCCCCTGCTTACCACATACCCATGAACTCTGCCCCTGGGAAGAGTCCTCCAGGCACACCGCTAACCCTCCTGACAGCAATGTGCACGAGCTGCCCTCATTGTGCAAAGCAGCACTGTTAAGTAGTACATTTCACACTGCAGCAGTGAGCCTGCTGGACTCATCCGCCTCCCAGAAAGTACTAGTACTTGTTAAAGAGTTGTTAAGGCTCTTCCCTGTCACGAGTCACTTTGGTGCAAGCTCTCAAAGGCAGAGGACCGGTGCCTGACGCAAAGGGATGTGGTAATGTCCAAGTGCCCACCTGACCTAGCAAGTCAAGAGCAAAACTGGAGAAGGGGCCTAGAAGGGCCAGAAGCAGCTAAGACAAAGAAACTATGATTCATTTTTTTAGTAACTGAAATAATTGCTTTCGTTTCCTGTGTCATTTGAGGGAAGTTGGTGTGAGAATAGCAGAGTGCCTAGGCTGTTTCTGAGAACCACCTCTGGTGCTGAGAATGCTGGTGTCCTGAAATAGTTCAGAAAACCATTGCCTAGTAGACAGCCTTTTACTTCATCTCCTAAATTCTGTGATATTTGCCAAAACAATGCCTCGGAAATAAATATTGCCAACCCACACAAGTATCATGAATAACTCATTAAGGAATTCTTTTAATTTTGATGTCATTAAAGTTACCAGAGTTGCATGGAAAGGGCTTTCTCTCCTGTTTTAAAAAGTCAACAACCCTAGGGAATGGGAAGCTGGCTCAGCAGTGTTTTTTAGAGGACCTAGCTGGAATCTCTTCCCAGCACCTACACGGTGGCTCACGACTGTTCCTTGCTCTAGTTTCAGGGAATCTGACACCCTCTTTTGGCCTTTATGGGCACCAGGCATGCATATTGTATACATATATAAATGCAGGTCAACATTTCTTCACATAAAAATAAGCAATTTTTCCCCCAAGACAGGTTTCTCTGTGTAGTCCCGGCTGGTCTCAAAGTCACAGATATCTGCTTGCCTCTGCCTCCTACGTGCTGGGATTAAAGGCCTTTGCCACCACCACCCAGCACAAGTAAATCTTTTTAAACAAGCAATAAAGAACACAATATACTTTCATTAATGTTGATAACCTTTTTACCTAGCACAAGTGTATGCAGCCCAAAGATTTTATTCCAAAAACACCAGAAAATGACAAAAGACTTCAAAAGAAGTTCGAGAAAATGGCTGAAGAGCTACAAAAACAGAAGACAACCCTAGGTAAGCCAAGTCCTCTGGCCTGACGGCTGGAGGCTTGTCACCTGGAGGTGTGGGGGCTGTGGTAGCTTTAGGGAAGAAGGCAGGAGAGTACATCTGCCATCTGCCTGCTGGAGACTGAGCAGTAACTGAGAGAGCCACTGGGAAGGAAGGGCGTTCAGATAATCCTCATCATTCATTAAGTCAGTCTCCTTTCTTTAATGTTCCTTTTTTACTTCGTGACTGGTCTTTTTGCTTCATTATCTGAAGCAGGTAAAACTTAGGAGGTGTTTGCTTTGAAGCTGTAGGGAAACACCTTGGGCTCACTTCCCGTGTTCATATTCATGTGCGGGTATGTGTCTATGGAGGATGAGCAGTGTTGGGTAGGAGCACTTTCTGACACCTGGATATAAAAGCAGTTTTAGAAGCCAGTCCACATGCCAACTTTCTTGCTAGTTGTGTGATTGTATACATGATATCTGTTTACCTGTGACTCAGTGGCTATCTCTGCACATGAGGATGCCAACACCTATATTAGGTAGGGCCTGGCTACACCTGGATGAATAATTGCATGCCCCTTACTGAGAGAGAGCTCATCAAGGGTCACTGCTGGCAGAGCCGTGATTCACGGTGGGGTAGTACTGTCTGGGGACGAGAGAATGGCACTGAAATCAGCAGGAACGCAGAGGGTGGACGAGGGTCTTAGAAGAACGGAGCTGGTGAAGTGTGGCAGTGTTTTCTGTTTTCAGATGATGGTGTTCCTGTCCTGCTGTTTGAGTCTCCTCGCTCACTGGTGTACAGCTCCACGACTCCCATTAAGAGTCACAAGACCACCATGGAGAACAGACTACAAGAGATGAGGGAGAAAAGGGAAAACCTTTCCCCTACCTGTAAGTGATTGCTTTGTAAAACAAAAACTACGCATACCGGTGGATTACAGAAGATGGATTAAGTCACTGATGACCTAGATATTTCCTGTGAAAAGTTGAAGGTTTTCCAACCACAACACTGTTGACTCTTGAAGATAATTCTTTGTTGTGTACACAATCTAAACCAGTAATAGCCCTCCCTTACCCTGTGACAGACATTGTCCTGTGTCTGCTTTAGCACTGGGTTCCTACTTGTTACAGCATATTAAGCTTAGAATATAGTTAGGAGTCATGTAATGTGTGTGGGGATCAAGAGCAGAGTGGATAGGCATGCTGTTGTTTGTGCAGTAGGAAATTCTGTGTCCAAGTCAGTGACATGTCATTATTTTATCAGTTTCCCAGATGCTTGAACAGTCTCAGCAGAACCCAAATGTCTCTCTGTGTGAAGCATCTTTGAACATTGCTCATGAATCTTTACGTTCAGGTAAAATTATAGTATGTTTTTCTTTTTCTTTTTGTGACAGAGTTATGAATTGGAAGGGTGTGTGTGTGTGTGTGTGTGTGTGTGTGTGTGTGTGTGTGTGTGTGTGTGCGCGTGCCCACTCACACTTGCACTTTTTGAGATAGTCTTTTAATGTGGAGCCCTGACTGGCATGGAACTTACCATGTAGACTCAGCTGGCCTCCAACTTAGAACAATCCTCTTGTCTCCTTTTGAGTGCTGAGATTACAGACATGCACCACTGTGCCCAGCTTTCATGTTGTTACTTCTAAACACTCAGGAAACGGAGTTAAACTACAACTTGTGTTTCTCCTTGAAATCTGGTATTATGGTAGAATTGATACAAAGCCAGGATCTCCTGCTTGAAGTCTATAGGTTCATTCCTGGAGATTTGGTCTTTCGTTGTGGAACAAGTTGCTTGCTTTTAGAAATCCTTGTGACTACATATGAACTGCTAAAAGCAGTGTAAAACACACCTCTCTCAGAACAGTAAACACTAAAGAGGAACCGTTTCATGTTTAATTAACCTGTGAAGTATGTTATTGAAAAGAGTGTATAAAGTAGTGTGAGAACCCTTGACTTACACTTTTCCCCCTTAAGTCCATGGGAAACCCTGAAAGAGCTGTGTTCATAAGTTCTTCAGCTACTATGCATATCTTGGAAGGCTAAAAGAGAAGATTGAGCTAGGCTTTCTTCCTACTAGTGTGTGGTATATCCTGGCATTCTGTCCTGCATATTCTGGATTATTTACCCATTTATCTTTCCCTTTTCTGCTCACATTTCTCTGTTAGAAACAAACAGTGATAAGAATGCTGACTTCATTTTCCCTGTGCCATTCTGGGTCTCACTGTAACACACAGGTACATACATGCACACAAGCACACACACAAGCACACACACACACACACACACTCAGTGACCTAGGCTGCATCTGCATTCCCATTTACCAGAGAGAAAACCAGGACATGGAGAGGTCAGGGGGATTATGCAAGAGCCTGCGGTTGTGAGTGAGAGACCCAGGCTTCTGACTTAAGTAGTCTAAGCATTTTTGCTCTTAATGATATACCACAGTGTGTCATGGCTCTTTGAAGAGTGTGATTATTTCATTCAGTTCCTAAGCATAAATCTCATGTGTTCCTCTAGCTGTTGCCTTCAAAGCACGTCCACAAGGGCCCAATGTCAGGCTGGCCTTGGCTCCCTCCCTTCCCAGAGCACAGTGTCCAGGAGGGTGTGTCTTTGGCTTCTCCTCTGTTCTTTTTGCTTTTTCAAGACAAGGTTTCTCTGTAACTTTAGAGCCTGTCCAGGAACTCACTCTGTAGACCACTCTGGCCTCCAGCTCACAGAGATCCACCTGCCTCTGCCTCCCGAGTGCTGGGGTTAAAGGTGTATGCCACCACTACCTGGCTTGCTCTGTTCTTTTTTAAAGTTGAACTTCCATTGTCACAAGCAAAAGTTAGATCCCAGTATTGCCTCCAGAGTGTGTAGTTTCTCTATAATGGAAGCCCTTAGCCAGCCAGCACTGTGCTGGTGGAGAACCAGCCTTGAGTGATGACCCCAAGTTCCCAAGTGAGCTAAAATGGTGACTGCCCTCTAATACGTCATAGTGTAACAAGAGGACAGGGAACCTTATGCTGTGATAAATATTGCTGTGTCATGGGAGGGTGTAGCAGTGTGACCTGACAGGGTAAAGGGATTCACAGGTGACACCAACTCTAAGGTGGTTTTGAAGGACGAGTTGTGTTTACTCACAGTAAAAGTGGAACAAGGACGCCCCGGTGTGAGGAGCCTGGAGACTTCAGGTGGGGCCAGGGGGGATCTTAGCATTGCTCCTGAGTAAAGTGCATGCTTCACGAAGGTCAGAATACTGAGGGTCTCATGAGGTTCATTCGAAATGTAAATGAGACGTGAGAACTTGCCAGAAGAGCTAGGGAGAGAGGGAGCTGGGAGGAGGAGCGGAATGGTATTTATCAGGAGAAATGTTTCATAGAAGACAAACACTTAGCCAGACATGGGGGCACACACCTCTAAACCCAGCATAGGAAGAAGGAAGGAGCAACCAGGCCAGCCAGGTCTACACAATGAGACTGTCTTTAAAAGAGAACGAGGTAGTTTATGATCGATTGCACACTTTAAAGATGATTTTTATTGACCTCTCCAGATGAATCCTTTGCCAGTTGTCCTCGCTCATCTTTTGATGGCCTCTGTGGAAATCAGGAAAGGAAACTGGGAAGATCTGTTAATGAGATGGCCAGGATGGCATGCTCTTCTTCACCTGTGTTGAAGACAAGCAGTTCTTACAGTTCATTGTCACCCAACCATCTCAGTCAGCCAAGTCCTCAGAAAGCTAAGGACCATCCTCCAGAGGAGGGCATCAGCTGGCAGAAAGATGCTTCAGGTGAGAAAGCTGAGCTGGAGAGAGAGCAAGCTGCAAGCGTGTCTCAGGGGATGCTCTGTCTGTCCCCTGCCACCGCAGGGAACATAGATGCCATAGATGAACCCAAGAGTTGCTCAGCCAAGAGAAAAAGGCCAATGGACTTGGGTTCACCTCCAAAAGGAAAACTCAAGAAGAAGAGGTATAATAGGAAATCTGCCCTGCCGATACAGCTGTTCAAGTCTGACCGTAGCCCCATCTTGAGGACTCCTGATGTTGGGGCTTCCTCTTATGAGGACTACTTTTCCCCTGATAATCTCAAAGAAAGGTATTCAGAGGCTCTTCCTCCTGAGGCTCAACCATTATCAAGCCCTTCTCTGTTCCACTGCAGAAGTCTCTCAAAGTGGGAGCGAAGCAGCATACTGGAAATGTGTGATTTTACCTTCATTGGTGACAAACCCAGATCCATCAGCTTTACTGACTCAGTTTCAAGAAGTACTTCTAGTCTTGAGAAACCCGGCAAGGAGGAAGTGAGTACAGTTTCTAGGTGCATTGTTGTGGAAACATCTGCTAAAGGAAGCCCAGAGCTTTGCAGGCAGCCTGGCCCTCAGCTGAGGGAGGACGCAGCCCCACAGGGAAGCACTCTTGCTAACACACCCAGCAGCCCTGCTCATCGCATCATGCCCTTGAAAGGGGATAGTAAGGAAGAAAGAGACCACGTTGATGTAAAAGGCTCCCCAGAAGACAGTACCACTCCTCCAGCGTCGGCCTCTTCTGAAGGAGAAGCACACAGCTTTAATTTTGGAAGGGATTGCAATGTAGAAAAATCTATAGAAGAAAAGAACAAGTCTACAGGATACAGTGAAAGTATGTGAATATCATTTTCTGAGTCTTTTTGTTCTGCCAGTATGTAATAGTGTGCTCCTATTTTAAATTTGTTAAAACTTGATAATTTAAGTTATACTCCCTCCCCTTTTAAGGAATATATGTTTGGTATTTCCCAGTGATGGTCAAATCTGCTTCCATGAATACACTTCCCCAGGCTTTGTCCTTGTGAACTTTTTTTTTTTTAAAGAAAAAAGCAGTAATGTTTAATGGTTGGCTTGTGCCTTTCTGTATGACTCTGTTATGTAGTATGACTATACAAGGAAGTGACCAATAGAGGAATTTTTTTTTAATTTAGGTTTATTTAAGAAGGGTTTTTTATGTGATAGGTACAGTAAAGAAACTGGCAACATGAGCACTCCATAATTAGGGTTTTATTGTAAATAAGAGAGAGAGAGTATCCAGAGGCATCTGGAAGAGTCCAGAGCAGAGAGAGACGAACAGACTGGACACGGCCAGGGCTGTCTACCAGACAAGGGGGAATGGCAGGAGCAGAACAGTACGTAACAGGAGTGGGGAGGATGTAAGAAATAGGGAAAGAGAGAACAGCGAGGGTAGCAGGAGTACCCGGGCCAGGACTATAAAGAGAGCTGGGATCTGAGATGAGAAGGGCCGGATAGAGTAGGCGTTTCGTACAAGAATTGCTTGTGGATAGGAACTGAGGGCGTCTGGAGGCCAGCATGGGCTTCAATCTGCAGCCGTGTGTCCTTCTGCTAGACATAAGGAAAATGACAAGTTCCGAGGAATTCTGGCTTTTGTCTGGTCACCAGAAAGCCTCCTATAGTCCAGGTTGAGCTCTTGAACTGAGCATAGACTCCAGTTTGAACCAAGTCAATGGGCTTGCCCTTTCGAACCTGACATGTTTCTACTGTAGAACTCTAGAGAGGATCAGCCATGGTTTTTCTAGGAGAAATGTGAAAAAGTAAGTTTTGAAATTTGTCATCAGTGTTTACTTTTGAAGCAACTTTGGGAAATGTTCAATAAGAACAAATATTTTTAGGACATTTTGTTCAATTAAGAATTTGGTTATGGCTAAGCGGTAGCGGCACACACCTTCAATCCCAGCATTTGGAAGCAGAGGCAGGTAGAATCTCTGTGAGTTGGTTGTCAGCCTAGTCTACACAGCTAATTTGAGGACAACCAGGACTGTTACACAGAGAAACCAAAAAAAAAAAAAAAAAAAAAAAGAATTGGTTAATTTGCTCTCTCCAGCCCTCAAGTAAGGATTTGGTTGTCTCTTTTATTTCTGCTCATTTTGCTTTAATAATTAGCTATATGATTATAGATTTTGAAGCAAAAGTAACAAAAATATCAGCAAAATTTGCAATCAGAATTGAAATTTTGACCATTTTTTAAAATTTGGTTAAAATTAAATATTACTAAATTAGCCCTTCATCATTTATTTCCACATTTGAGGTGGCTTTAGCCACTGTAGGATAGACTTGCCAGGGAGAAATCATTACAGTTCCATTTTTCTTTTTTTGAGTATAAACTAACACAAAATCAGCTCTAAACATCAATTAAATGATTTTTAGATTTTAAGCTGATAAATAGGTTAGCTTTTGAATAATTTATTATTTTCATGAGTTTTGTTACATCAAGGTTAATGTGTGTTTTCAGGTTGACTCTAGTAAATATAAAAGAGTATATGTAGAATTGTTTCAATAGCTCAGAATATCCTGTCTTCAGTTCTGAGTTTTTATTTGAATATTATATATTTTTAAACCATTTGACTATTGTATGATATGTAAATGTAAACTAAGTGGGATGCAGCTGGTTCCAAACAGCCTGGCACACCCTAAACCCCAGGATTGCAGGTGTGCTGTCCTCAGAAGCAGGTGTATTTCTTCATCCAGGGCTCAGCCTTCCTGTCCACAGTCCTGAACATCAGGCTTCAGAAACAGAAGGTGAAGGGCACAGGCTTGGGTTAGCCCTCCAGGACCACTGGAGGAGGCTGAGAGGTTTGGTGATGATGAAGGGGTTTGACTTGCTGGTGCACAGACAGGGACTGCTGTGACGCAGTTTGACTCTGATGGAAATGTTCTATAAATTGTCATGTCGTCTGCAAAACAAGCATGGGCTCCTAGGGCAAGGTAACACCTATCTAGCCTAAACCCAAGCATTTTCTTTTATACTAGTAAGACTCATGGATATTTTGCATTGTTCACCATTAGCCCAGCCTGGACTCAGGCCAGTCAACTCTTTGGGGATCCAGCACAGATCATAAATCCTTGGGCTGAAATGGGAATTCTGTACCTGCCCCAGCTGGAGCCAGGAGGGCTGCTCTCAGCATCAGCTAGGCCCTCGAAATGGAAGGCTTTCGGTGTCTGCTTTCATCTCACTTGCACTTGTTGACGCTAAGATAGTGAGCAATAAGGTTTCTAAAGAAAGTTACCAAAAAGGTCTCTAATAGACATTGAAACAGTGGGATATAATCACTAACTCTTCACATTTTTATTCTCTAATTTTATGAACAATAAAGAAGAAATTTCCATTGTTAAGAATAAACTTTCCCATCTCAAGTCCTCCTTTTCTGCTTGTATGAATTCTTGAATTATCATCGAAGAGTAGTTGTAGACCTGTTATGTCTCACACATACTTCTAGTTTGTAAGGAGACGCAGAGAAGGAAACAGTGTGTACCCCTATCTCCCAACAGACTCTAGAGTCCTGGAAATCAGATGGTAAATCTAAGTAGGTCATGGTGTCAGCTAGTAAGTATATTCAAGGGTGCACAATATGAGAGAGAACAATCAAAAGCATCTGGAAAAGTCTGGAACAGAAAGATAAAGAAGTAGACTGGATATGGCCAAGGCTAGGGAGAGAAGAGTGAGGATGGCAGACTAGGATAAGAGCATAACAGGATAGCCAGAGAGAGACAGTAGTGAGAATAGCAGGAGATGGCCGGGGTTGGGGAGGACCACAGCTTTATAAAGAGGGCAAATGCTGTCTGGAAGGAGTGGAGGTGACAAGGGGAGGGTGCTAGTGTAAACTTTGAAACGTGTAATAGATCGTTGTGATGCCGAGGGCTCCTGGAGGCCAGCATCAATTTGATACGCAGCCATTGATATATATCAATGGTGCCATATGTCTCTTTGGCAGATGGGAACCAGTGTCACCAGTTCCTGAGGAATGCTGACTTTATCTAGCAACCAGAAATCCTATAGTTCAGGTTGATCTCATTTCTTGATATATGGACTGCCTCTTTGAGTTTGGGAATTGAAGTTTCCTTTGGCTCCAACAGCGAGCAATTAGAAAACCCTGAGAGTATAGGTGGTTCCATCAGGCACCCAGAAGGCTTCTCTAAGGAGGTTTTACTAGCTGCAGGCTAAGTGAGGGCATGTTCGTGTCTACTGGAAGTAAGCATGAATGACTGAATGTCCTGTATGAAGGAGGAGCGCCATGCGGCCACAAGCCTCTGAGGTGGGAATGATGATCACAAATGTGGCTGGAATCAGACCCTCAGGACCATCCCTCCCCAGCGAGGCAGGGAGTTCCAGTAGGTTTTATAGTGTGATGAGAAGCCACTGGGGATTTTGAGCTGGAGTAACCAAATCTGACTTGTTTTCATCGTAACCCTGGATACTTTGAAGAACAAACTGTAGTTGTATTGTGTTTGCTAGAAGCAATTACTGTCAACAGTATTTCCTTCCAGACAACTGTGTGTATAAACATACAAATGAAATATATTTAAAGAGTTTCTCTTGCATACATAGAACCATATTATCCTGTTGCCCTAAATTGGCCTTTTAAAAACTCATAACAACATGTCAGATACACTCTTCACAGTAGATATTTGTTTCTTTAGTATAATCTGTATTGAGGATCAGTGACATTTCCTGTAATGGGTCAAAAGGGTATAAATATATAAATATACTTAGAGAAAGACATTTTTGTTGATGAAATTCAAAATTGAGTATAGTTTTTTGGAATGTGTGTCTTCCCTTGAACACATTCTTTCTTTTGGAGAGGGAGAATGAGTAACCCTGTGATTTCAATGGGACTCCAGTAGGTGAGTCTCCCATCAAACTTGATTGCATAATATAATTCTTTACTACTGATAAGGTATCTCATCCTGAGGGTGCTTTCACAAAGATTGGTCCTGTCCAAGTCTGATGTCAGTTCACAAGGAGACAGTCTTCAAGCATATTGTCCTAAGGCAGTGTTTATGTAACTGCGGGTTTGCCTTTCCATGTGTACCTTCCAGCAGGTTCTTATCTTGTGCATGCATCACTTGGCAGTGGAGAGCTAAGCAGAAACTCTTGGATGGTGTAGATAGTATGATCTCGCAATTAAGATATTGATTGCTTTGCTCTTTTATCAGGTCTGGGAAATACTGTAGAGCTCTAGTCAATGCAGAAAGAAATGTCTAAACCCAGTTTGTGTGGGGATGGGGTCTTGCTTTCTGTTTGATTGTACTTATTTATTTTGAAAGCAAGATCTTACTATATAGCACACTTGGCCTCCAGTTAATAATCCCCCTGTCTCAGCCTCCAGGCAGCTTAGACTATGGGTATGCAGCAAGATTCATTTTAAATTTTGATGCTGCAAGACAGGAAGCATGAAAAGCAGCTTGGTCATTATTGAGATGACATCTTCTGCCTCTGTTCCCTCCCATATGAATCAGTCACCCAGTAGAGTTGTCCTGCATACCTTAGTACATAGTAGAGTGCCTACTGGTCTTTCACTAATGATACTGATGGCAGGAACTCCATATGTCTCACTTGAATACTAGCAGAGTTGGTCCTTTCCACACTATGCCCCATGTCTGGCCATTGATTTAATGCACATTTTCTCGTGTGTAGCGTGTGGTGGAATTTTACATGTCAGCGTTTTATACATTTGTGTTCACTTATCTGTGCAGTTTGGCCATTTCCAAATATTGAATTCTTTTATGGAATACCAGCTGCTGTCCTTCCAGCAGGTCTGACTACCAGATCTTAAGGAAGGCAGGTTTCATCAACATTTGTTGGCCAGCAAAATGGGGGAAAGTCCTCCAAGTAGACAGATCTGCTGAAGTCCCAGCCTCTGTCCCTTAACTTACTGTCCTATTAGAGGCAAGCCTCTATAAATTTTTTGTCTCCCTTAGCCTACCACATATCTCTTGACTCTGTACTTTATTATAGGTCATTTAGGGATCAAGATGTGGGTATCTTCTCTAGGGATACAAGCTTCATCTAATACTGGATTTTTCTGTACCCTCCTCACACATGGTTTAGGGAGTGCTCTGTAATATCCAGCCAGTCCATTCTTGAATCCACAAGTTTATCCGATGGGAAGCTTTCTAACCACTTGATGTCATCATTTAGAGCTCATTTGTTCCATCCATGGTGATGGTTAGCAAGGCATTTCAAAACGGACTTGTTGGACTTGTCTCTGAGGTGTGGCATCTGTTAATTATGGTCTGTCTGTCCACTCAACCCTCTTGTACTTTTTGAGATTGAGACTTACATAATGACAAAAATGTTGGAGCTAGGACTCTTTTCTATTTGTTTTTGTTTCTTGAGACATTGTCTTGCTCTGTAGCCCAGCCTAGCCTTGGAGCAATTTCCCTACCTCAATCTCTAGATCAGTGGTTCTCAACCTTCCTAATGCTGCCACCCTTTAGTACAATTCTCTTAACCATAAAATGAGTTTCATTATTACTTCATATCTGTAATTTTGCTGTTATGAATTATAATGCAAATGTGTTTTCTGATGATCTTAGATAACTCCTGTGCAAAAGTCGTGTGCCCCCCCCCAAAAAAAGGGATCATGACCTAAGGGTTGAGAGCCACTGCTCTAGGGTGCCAGAATTACACCCCTGTTCCACTGCTAAATTATTTAAAAATTTTTTATTCCATTATTTCATGATAACTTGGACAGCACAATGCAAGCAATGAGACTAGAATGAAAATGAGAAGGCATCTGAGGTTTATCATTGGGGTAGAATACTGTGTCCACCCCTCACCTCCCCCACCCCACAATCTCTAACCCTACCCTGGTTGAGAGTATTTGGAGGCTGAGCCTTTGGAAGGAAACTCCATTCAGATGAGCTCCTAAGACTAGGGCCCTAGTGAAGTAACTGGTGTTTCATGAAGAAGGCAAGAGATGCCAGGAATCTTCTTTCTGCCCACTTTGCCCCGTGAAGTGGAAGCGACAAGGCTGCCATCTGAAGCCAGGTGGGTGGGCCCTCACCAGAAGCCAATTATCAGCATCCAGTTGAGATGAAAATTTTCACAGTCTCTGAAACAGAAGATTAATCCTCGCTATCAAGTCACCAGTTAGGGCGTTTCAAAGCAGTCCTCAAACCTACTTTTTCCAGAGAACGACTGTAGGTGGGTGGCCAGGCTTTACCTAAGACTCAAGATAGATACATGTTAGCTGGTTCCATCTGTCCATACACTGACAGGAGGTCTAGAGAAGGGACATTGCCTTAGCAATGTAGGAACGGATGGTGTTAACAGGACATGATGCTGTCACCCAGGGAAGCACAGATGTGCCGACCTGTGAAAAGCAGCACTGCAGGAGCAGACAGGCTAGCCCAGGGGACATGGCACCAGACTGGTCCCACAGCCAGCCCAGAGCTACTCTGCCCTCAGCTGCTTTGGTGGCCTGGTGACATTAGAGGAAATGTGAGCAACCTTCCGTGGAAGAGTATGTGACATATAAGTGACTGAGAGAGACCTGTCTGCCGGCTTCACACTATGACCCAGTGTCCTCTGTCCTCTTAGGCATATCCTGTCCCTTAGCTACTTGTAATCTCAGGTCTGAAAGGGTTAAAAACAAATTCTGTCTGTGTTCCATGCCTGTCAGGAACTGAGAGACTGTTTTTAAAAAACATTGTCAAAAAGCATTAGGAAGCAATACAGAAATGTTGGTGTCACTCACAAAGTGAGAGAGTCTGCCCTTGTCTTAGAGCAGACCCGTTAACCCTTTACCTGCCTGCTACAGCCCATCTACCTCTTTTAGCAGCTGAGGGCTTCAATGGGTGGGCAGTTATCCAGGATTGAGAGAGACATGACATTTAAAAGACAGCTAAAGAGGAAGGGGTTTAGTGTGTGATGGTTGGTCTCCAAAGGGATCCAATTTAGACATTTATAGGCAAAGAATGTTGATCTTAAAATGTTTATAGGGCCTAGGATACAAATAGTAGCTAGTTTGAATTCTGGAGAACCCTTAACTATTATTCTATCTCTCTTTTTCTTTAGTTTGCTGATTCATTTTTACACTTAATTATTGGGGGGCGTGCATTGGTGCAGTGTTATGTGTGTATGTATGTAGATCAAGACAACTCGAAGGAGTTAGTTCATGCCTTCTTCCACATAGGGTTTGGGAATTGGACTCAGGTTCCTTACTCACTGAGCCATCTTGCTGGCCCCTATTTCTGTTTAGAAAGAATTCTGCTTTCGAAGCATAAATAGGAATTTTCAAGTGTGACTTCTCAAGCTTGGGTCACTCTGGGTTTTATCATATTGTCCTACCTATAAGGTAGACTTTCTTATGGATACCTTTTAGTTTCTGGAAGCGTTTTTTAAATTTTTTTATTTTGACTTGGAGCATATTTATTTGTGTGTCTAGCATGTGCATGGGCAGTGTCTTCTGCACTGGGCCACCTTCACTGGCAACCTCACATAGTTTTTGCCCATGAACCAGTGCACAGGTAGGATGTGCAGTTCAGCTGGCATCACCTGCCACAGCTGCTGCCTTCCATGATCATAAGTGTGGCTCATGTATGCTGCACATATGTACTTCTTAAAAAGCATGGTACCCCGGAGAAGGAGAATGGGACAGGATCTCCTGAGCGGATTGGGAATATGGGGAGAGGGGAGAAAGAGCAGGGAGAAAGGGAGAGGGAGTAGAGGAGGGGAGAGGAGGACATGGGGGAGCAGGAAGGTTGAGTCAGGGGAAGAATAGAGATACCATAGTAGAGGGAGCCATTATAGGTTTGAGGAGAGATCTGGCACTAGGGAGATTTCCAGAGATCTACAAGGATGACACCAACTGGCAATCTAAGCAATAGTGGAGAGGCTACCTTAAAAGCCCTTCTCCAATAATGAGATTAGTGACTACCTTATATGCCATCCCAGAGCCTTCACCCAGTAGCTGATGGAAGCAGAGGTAGACACCCACAGCTAAACACTGAACTGAACTCCTGGAACCCAGTTGCAGAGAGGGAGGAGTGATGAGCAAAGGGGTCAAGACCAGGCTGGTAAAATCCATAGAAATAGCTGACCTGAACAAGGGGGAACTCATGGACTGATGGCTGAGAGGTCAGCGTAGGACTTATCCAGACGCCCTAAATTTGGGTGTCAGTGAGGAGGCCTTGGCAGTCTACGGGGCCACGGGTAGTAGATCAGTATTTATCCCTGACATACGAATGGACTTTGGGAGCCCATTTCACATGGAGGGATGACCTCTCATCCTGGACACATGGGGGAGGGCCTAGGCAAGGCCCAGAAAGATGTGACAGACTTTGGAGATCCCCCATGGAGGGCCTCACCCTCCCTGGGGAGTGGAGTGGGGATTGGGTGGGGGGCTGGGAGGGTTGGTAGGTGGCAGGGGAGGAGGAGAGGGAAAGGGAGCTGGGACTGACATGTGAAACAAGCTTGCTTCTAATTTAAATAAAAAGCCCAACTATTACGTTGTAATAACCAATTGCATCTAACAGGTATCTTCTCTGACAAGCTGAGGGTTTTTTTAAAATTATTTTGTAATTAAGATTGTTGTGAATGGTGCCTAAGGAACATAGATGCGAACACAGAAGTATGGTGAAGCATTGTGACCAACCTTGAGCATTTGCTGGGATGTCTGCAGGGAATTGACTGCTACCTCTAAATAGATTTTTTTCTTTTTTACTCTATTTTTAGAACTTGTATATGAATGTAGTGTCTGTGTGTAGTTCCATGTGTGGGAGCACATTCACACGGTATCTAGCCCAGTGTTCTGCCATGGCGCTCCATCTTACTCTTTGAACCAATGTCTTGAAGTTGAACCCAGTGCTCACCTATGTGGCTAGTCATTAAGTCATTAAGCTGTATAGAGTTTGGTTCTGGTTAATTCTGGTGTGTGACATTGTTAGTTTAATTAAAATACACACAACACACACACAGAGAGAGAGAGAACAATATGGCCCGTCTGACTAGCCAGCTTGCTCTGGGATCCTCCTGTTTCAACTTTCCGAGTACTTGCATTACTAGTGGGTATCACACCCATATGGTGTTTATGTGGTTTTAGGAATTCAGATCCTGTTCTTCAGACTCGTGTGGCAAGTGCATTATTTGCTGAGTTGTCTCCCCAGCTCTCTAACTAGATCTTTGGATATGGTTTGATTGACAGAGTCTGCAGTATCCTATTCCTGTTAGGTATACACAGAATGCTTAATTTTTGTTGTGCCTACTGACTTTTGCATTCAGTCCATGTTGTTTCTAACTAACCTTCGCTCCACTTTGTTTTAGGTATTAAAAATGGACCAGTGAAACCTGAGTCTTCAGACGGCTCTTGTACAGACCTTGTCAGACCTCAAGAGAAACCAAAGAAATGTGGGAAAGAAAAAAAGGTCAGTGGATAAAAATATAATTCCAAACCTTCAAATGTTCAGATCTCATAATGTTCTACTTTGGCTTAATGAAGCAAATTATTCTACTCACCATGTGTTTATGTAAGAAATTAATTACCTGTGAATGTGGGTAGTTTGAATACAACACTGAGAGGTCCGAAGTTATCCAGGATGGAGTGTTGGCACTGACAAATTTAGCTTCCTCATAGCACTTTGCCAGCACATGCCCGGCTGTGAACAAGCCTACCGCTGCTCTCAGACACAGTAGGGGCCAGCGTCTGTTGCTCTATGCTAATTCAAAAAATATGCACTAGATAGGAGTAAAGCACCCAGATATCCTTTATTTGTGAATAATTCAAGGCCTGACATAAAACCCTGAGGCCAATTGTCATAAAACTCATGGAGTATATGTTGAACTTGAAGTCAGTATGGTGGGGGGACCACCCTGATAGACCAGGAAAATAACTGCAGACTTGATTGCCTAGCCATTACTAGAAGTACTGATTTAGATAGAGGTATGGAGAGGTCAAGGTTCATGCTTTTGTCACTGTGAATTTGAAGAATAGAAATTTCTTGGTATGTGATTTATATCTAAGCTTCCTAGCATGTTGAGATCTTTAATGTAGGGTGGGGATGTGAGTTTGTTTGGCATCTGATATTGTTATGAGTCTTCGTTGACACTGGGGTCCATTGATATTGACAGCCAATTGTAGAATTAGAGTGGTAAGTTAAGTATAACTTCCTATTTTAATCATCTCCAGGCTAAGCTAGTATCTGCCATTCTCCCCCTTTCCCCTCAGAAATGAGAATTTCACTTGCTTGTTTTTGGTTCTTAATAGATTTTAAGATATTCTATGTTAAACTCAAGTTTGAGACTTTGGCAGGGCCCTGTTTTTATGTACAGTGCAAATCAAGAGGTTTCTTTTTATTAAGCGCAGATCTTGTTCCTGCTATCTTTTAAAAATCTTGTCAATGAGCCAGAGATGTAGCTCAGCAGTAACCCTGCCTGGTATGTGGAAGGCCCTGGATTTGATCTCCAGTGCTGCAAAGAAATGAAAATCTTGTGATTGAATTTTAATGTTGAAAAGCAGTGGAGTGTGTGCCTTTAATCTCAGCACATGGGAAGCAGAGGCAGATGGGTCTCTTGATTGCAAAGCCAGCCTGGTCTACAGAGGGAGTTCCAGGGCTGCCGGAGCTGCACAGGAAAACCCTGTCTCAAAACACCAAAAACAGAAAAGAAGAGGGGCTAATTGCTGTGGCACATGTAGCTTGCCAGTCCTGGTGGTTAGCGTATGGTGTTTCCGTATATGCTACCGCTGTGGGGATGAACATGGCTTGAAGCTCAGATGTTTCTCTGGGCCCTAATGATCTTCCACTCTATTTTGGGCGGTAGGGTTTCTCTGTACAGGCCAGTCAGATTGCATAATGCTCAATCCTGTGTAACATGGAGATTCAGGGTGAGACTGGCAAGTGTGGACCCAAGGGGTGCAGAACAGTTCTGGAGGGCCCTGAGAAGACCCAAGATCTAAGCATCAAGGGAGATGTGGTACCGTGTGTTTGTTGTGAGTCTTCTTGAGGGCCACAGGCTTCCTTGTTTGATCTTTGATTTGTTTTGGGAAATTAGCAGCTATTGCTGCTTCTGCCCATTTCCTCAACTCTGTATTGCTGGCACTATAGTGTTACTTACCATGTGTTACCCATTGCTATTGGAGTTTATACCTTGTGGCGTATCTTTCCTCTTGGATCTTTTTGTAAGACAGGAGGATTTCACTCTGTAGCCCTGGCTGGCAAGTCCATTTGCTGCTAAATCTACAAACTGAAGTTCAGCATCCATTCCTTGTTCTTTTAGGTCCTTGTAGCTTTAGTTGGGCTTTTTTCTTATCATTTTTAGTTTTGTACCGTGCACGCACATTTTGAAGTCTATGTCTGACACCTCTGCTCTCCCTTGTTTCTGTTTTCGTGATTTGTAGTTTTCATGGTTCCACAGCTAGTAGCATGTTGGTTTAGCGTCCAGTCAGGAGATGGGATGGTTGAGCTGTCTTTGGGAATCTGAATGTCGTTGGGAATGTGCACCTCAGATGCCATGTCAGCAGTCCAGGTCTCCCAGCTAGCTACAGGGGCAGTGTCGTCACAGACATTGCTTGCCTGCTCGTACAGTTTTGTGACTGACCCTAGTTTGTTGGTAGATTTACAGTACTCAGTCTATCACTACTGAAAACCATGGTTTAATTTGTACGGTCTTTTAAAATAGTGTCGTGTTATTGATTGGTTTGTGGTGGGGACTGTGGGGGCTGTGAATATATGTATATGTGTGCACTTACATATGGAGGACAAAGTCAACATTGCTCCACACTTTTTATTTCTTGAGACAGGATGAACCTGGAACTCACTGAACCTGGAACTCACTGACTGGCTAGATTGGCTAGCCATCAGACTTCAGGGATACACCTGATTCCATCTCCTTCTCCCCTGCCCCCATGGGGACTTTTTCCATGGATGCTGGGGATTTGAACTCTGGGCCTCATGCCTGTACTGAAAGCGCTTCACTCCACCCCCACCCCGGCATCTCCCTAGTCTCCTATATGCTTCCCTTTGTGAAAAATAAGGAAAGATTTTAAGGGAAAAGAAAAATTTCCTGAAACAATTGTTCAAGAAAAATGTATTAAACATCTAAGTGATTGTTCTGGTTGGTTGTTTTGTCAATGTGACACAAACTAGAGGTATCTGGGAAGAGGAGCCTCAACAGAGAAATGCCTCCATCACATGGCCTGCAGACAAGTCTGCAATGGGTTTTCTTGATTCACGATTGAAGTGGGACAGCCCATCCACTGGGAGCAGCCACCCTTGGGCAGGTGGTCCTGATTTTTAAAAAAAATTTTTTGAGATTTTATTTATTTTTTTGTTTTTGATTTATTTAACTTAGAAACAAGTTTACTTCACATGTCAATCTCAGCTCCCTCTCCTTCCCCACCCCCAACAGTCCCCCCAACCCCTCACCCCATCCCCACTCAGCTCTCCAGGGAGGGTGAGGCCCTCCATAGGAGGAATCTCCAAAGTCTGTCATATCATGTATCCAGGATGAGAGAGCATCCCTCCATGTGGAATGGGTTCCCAAAGTCCATTTGTATGCCAGGGATAAATACTGATCTACTACCCGTGGCCCCGTAGATTGCCAAGGCCTCCTCACTGACACCCAAATTCAGGGGATTTGGATAAGTCCCATGCTGGCCTCTCAGCCATCAGTCTGGGGTCCAAGAGTTCCCCCTTGTTCAGGTCAGCTGTTTCTGTGGGTTTCACCACCCCAGTCTTGACCTCTTTGCTTATCACTCCTCCCTCTCTGCAAATGGGTTCCAGGAGTTCAGTTCAGTGTTTAGCTGTGGGTGTCTGCCTCTGCTTCCATGATTTATATAAGCAGCCTGTGCAAGCCAGGAGGGCCAAGCCAGTAAGCAGCACTCCTCCATAGCCTATGCAGCAGCTCCTGCCTCCAGGATCCTGGCTTCCCTCAGTGATGGACTTACAAACTGTAAGGTGGAATAAACCATTTCCTCCCCAAGTTGCTTTTGTTTATGGTGTCACATCAATAGACACCCTAAATCAGTGGTCTCATTTCAGTTTCTATTTAGTGGGGAAACAAATAAAATGCAATAAAGGGTTTAGGGTCTTGAAATTAATAGCTTCCATTTGAATGTTTTTGCTTTGATACCCACTTTCAATAGGAAAAGTATCTTTACTGTTTATTTGACCTCTTTTTACTCCGAGGACTTGGTTAAGCAGTTTATCAGTTCTCCTCTCTTAGTTTATAAGGTGTTTAGTTGTAGGCAGTGATAAAGTTCTGCATCATTGCAGGGAGGGAGGAATATAAACAATGCACACAAAGTGACCATTGAGGATTGTTGAGCATAGAACACGAGGAAGCTAAATGTGAGCTTCATGCTTGAACTCCGTAAAAAGTACATGAACTCTGTTTCTCCATGGTTTTTCATTTGTTCTGTTACTTCTGGGCTTGTTGTTGTCCTAAAGATTATTATCCTCAACAAAAATTCCACCTGAATCATCAACTGCATAGCTCTTGGTCAGTGGCTGAGTTTTTGAAATCTCATTTTGGGCTATGCTTGCCAATCCAGGTTGTTCCACAGGAAGACAAGCTGTGGGTCAGAGCACAGAGGGTTTGCAGATGGCTTTCATAGATGCAAAGCCTTGGGGAGAAACAGGACCAATGGACCGCACCTATTTTGACAAGGTTTTTGTTGTTGTTTTAAAAGAAACCATACACCAGATAGAATGCTTACATTATTATTATTATTATTATTATTATTATTATTATTATTATTTATTTGTGTGTACACGTGTGTACGCACATGTGTGCAATGGCTTACATATGGAAGTCAGAGGATATCTGTAGGACTTCCTCCTACTGTGTGGATTCTCAAGATCAAATTGAGGTTGTCAGACTGCACAGCAAGTCATTTTACTTCCTGAGATATCTTCCTGTTTCAGAATATTTACATTCTTAAAAGCCTTGTGCATGAGCAAGGAAACAAATAGCTTGCATGTATTTTAATAATTGCTTATTCTCCAAACTTTATTAGTCTATGAGTCTCTAGGGGCATGCTCTGTGCTGTCTTGGAGTACTCTGCATGGTACAGTACTCCATGCATCAAGGATGTAGTGATGTCCCTCCTGTGTGTGTGCATGTTCACATGTGTATAGGTATGGGTGTTTGAGTATGCATGCATATGAAGGCCTAAGGTTAGAACTAGTAGCCTCCCTTGAATGCTCTCCCCCCTAACTCAATGACTCAGGATGTCAGTTGAATTCAGAGTTTGCCAATGTGGCTAATCTGGGTAGAACTTCCTCTAGGGATCCGTGGTATCACAGGTTGGGAACCACACCCACTCAGCAGGTTTTCAGATCTGGACTTCATATTTCACAGTTTCATAGTCAGTGCCGTAGCCATTGAGTCATCGCCCAACCCCCCCCCCCTTTTACATTTTCATTTG